AGCAGCAACACAACCCCTCAGCCTGTTAAATGCAGCAGTTTCAAACTGGAGACTGACAACACAAATACCAGCTGTTTGCTGCACACCCTGCCCTTCCAGCCGCCTTCCCCGCTGTTAACAGCTGCTGCCTCCCTGCTCATACGGGTCAAAATCCTACGTAGAAGTGCCAGATCGGAGACTTAAAAAGGCCTTTTCAGCAGGAACACGTCTCCTTTCTAACCCTCTCCCTGATGTGGGCTGGGAAGACCAATGCAAAGCAGGGAAATAGAAACAATAATATATGTTAATCGCTCTTTTGCCAACCAGAGAGCGGAGCTGGGCCCCAGGGGGAAGCAACATTTTCGCTTCTATCTCAGTGGCACTGCTCCCTTCAGTGTTGGAAAAAAACTGCTTTTTCGTTAGAGATATCTGAATATTCAGTATGCCATTTAAACTGGCTTCAGATCCGTTCCCATTGCCACTGTTCCTCCTGGAAGCCTGGTGAGTCTAAACCACGAGCTGATATCTCCCATCAGGTTGTTTTGTCCAAGTCCAAAGTTTCTTTGTCTTGGGAAATCAAAATAACCCCGCCTGCCTCAAGGGACTTTCACTTTTTCAAGGGAATCCCATGCACAAGGACAGTTCTGCAGATCTTTTGTTTACATAATAACCCAGACAGCGTGAGGATCCATCATAACTGAAAGGAAAACCTTGCTTTTCCCAGAATTTGGGAGGACTGGCTTTTTGTTCTGTTTTGATGGTGAGTGCAGCACCACAAGTGGAGAAACACTGTCATTTATAGTCTGGGAGGGATTTTAACAGAAGTAAACATTCATTTTAAAGAGAAAGAATAGAGACTCTAAGGGAAAATAAACTTGCTGGGCTCAAAGAACTCAAACAAAGACAAAAGAAAGGGCCTTTGAAATCTGCAGGGTGTCTGTGTCCCTCACCCTACCCCCAAAAGGTATCTGTGTCTCCCTCCCTTTTTGACCTCCCCCACTCCAAGTTTATATGACCCCAAACAAAATTTGGGCCTCGTAAGAAGGATAGTTCACACCACATTCCCAAGGGCAGCTTGGATAGGACTGAGTCCAGCTGGGCACCTGCTATCCAAAGCTGGACTCAGCAAGGTTTGCAACCACAGGCACGTGTGCTCAGGACACCCAAGTAACAAGTGACAGGACAAGAGGAAGTGTCTGCAAGTTACACCACAGGAGGTTCATGCTGGATACCAGGGGAAAATTCTTCATGGAAAGGGCTGTTCAGGGCAGCTTTGGAGTCCCCATCCCTGATGGGATTTAAAAGCCGTGTGGATGTGGCACTTGGGGACATGGATTGGTGGTGGCCTTGGCAGTGCTGGGGAACAGTTGGACTCAGTGATCTCAAGAGTGCTTTTCCTACCTAAATGATTCCACGACACTATAATGGAATCTCCCAAATCCCAAGCCAAGCTGCTGCAGAACGTGCCTCCAAGCTCCCAAAGCACATCACAACCCTGTGAAGGAGAGGATATCCGTTTTGACTCAAACACTGAAGCATTTTAAGTGGGGTGAGAGAGCACTAGGCTCAAATCATCCTTACCCAAGCTTCAGCTTTGTCCTCTGCCCTCAGCCAGTGTCTCCTGTTGAAACAGCTCTCACTTACACAAATAATTGTGTAAAGCCTGAAGAAGAGATTGCAGCTCAGTGCTCTTTGATGTTTCAGGTGAGTGGTCTCTCCATTGTAGTACTAAATCTGAGACAGACCTTGCTTTACCCTGTTTTCAGGAAAAAAATGCCCCTTTCTCTCTGCCTCTCTTCCACATCCTAAAATGAGGAGTCATTCCAAACCTCATGGACTCCTAGAAGTATTTCACCAAATTCCTTCTTCAGCTGAGCTCACCCCCTACAATGAGCCTTTTATCCTGGATACATGGGAAGTGAAGCTCCATATAATGAATTGTGAATCTCCATTACCTGAACTTTGAAATAGAAAAAAGGAAAAGTACTGAGTTGTTTCTCGTCTGATTACCTTAGCACTTCTACTCTAAAATGTTTCTGCACATTTTGTCTAATTTTTATCTTGTATTGGACAAGAAAATGACTGTACTTTTACATTATGAAAATGACTGCACTTTTACATTGTGAATGCTTAACTTTTGGTATGTCTGTCTGGAAAGCCTTTCAGATTTGGAAACCTATTTCACCAGATTCTGTGCAAACACATGGGGAAGCATCATAAGTTCTCTTTGAAAAACTGATTCAGAGATCCAGATTCGACACAGATAGTGTCCCAGGGGTGATGAAAATGACCTTATTATACTTAGAAAAATGCCTGTGTAAGTGGACAGACACATCCATCAGGTATCTATTGACTTGGTGTTCCACTTGATGAAATGACCATCTGGAAGTATGATCCTTTGGCTTCACGTGGGCCATCGTGTCCTCCTGCAGGACCCCTGCCAAAGGCACTTACCTCCATTCTAGCTGGCTTGGAGGTTGAAGTTCGAAGAAGTATTTTTAAGAAAAAAGTTTGAGCCTGAAGTGATTAAAGCCAACAAACAATTGCTGTGTTTCTGTTGGCATGAAGCTTGTGCTGCGTTGGGGATGAGCAGGATTAGCGGTCCAGCAGTGATTGTCCGTTTCTTCTGTTCTTTGATCCCAGTCCTAATGCATTTCTGAGGGCTGGGCTTTGGGCAAATGTGAGTGTTTGGCCCCGGTACAAGGGTGACTGGATGGATGGAGCCTCCCAGAGCAGCCTCCAAAAAGTGTGCAGTTCAGCCTCTTGTTTGGATATCATCCCCTTTAAAGTAAGAGCCACCCACGGAGATTTGATCTAATTTTAAACTTTCTAGGAGCGTTTGGAGGATTTGACAGAGGTACTCAGCTGGGGGCTGAAGTAGGTGGATAGAACACACAGATGAGTTCCATGGCCAGATAAATAGGATCCTAGCAGAGAAGGCCCATCATGACATAAACACATATGCTCCTTAACAGTTAGATATTCACTGGGGCTATTTATGTCTGTCTGATACTTTATGCAATCGTTGAAATGATCTGAAAAAGCAAAGGTGTTGAACCAGAGTGAAGCAGGATTATCATGGCTCAAAATTACCTGAAGCAGCCTCAGAAAGCCAAGGAGAAGTTGGGGAATGCCCATTGGAAAGAGGCTTTTGGTAGGACCATGGGATGAAGGCTGGATGGAGAAACACCTGTTGCTGTTGAATTTCTGCAGGTTTCCCATAAAGAGATCTTAGTGTTCCTGTTTATGTATGTACTCCATGTGTATGGAGTCAAACACATAACTCATCACAAGTTAAATTTTTGGCAGGAAAAAAAAGAGTTTTGACTCTTTCTGGGTTGTCAGAACTCCTTTCCTCAGGGTTAAGCTGTCTTCATTGTAATTGCCTTTAGAATTCTCAGTACTTGGAGTCCTGCTGGGCCAAGTCCCCCATGCTCCAAAAAGAGAGTGTCTGTCCCAAACAATTTGCAGCCTGAATACAAGAAAAGGAAAGCATGCAGATGGGGAGAGCCAAAAAAGTGAGGATACACCTCTAGAGACAGCAACAGCGAGCAGTCTGCACCTGCCATCTGCTAAACTCCCTTTGGCAAAGGTTTCTGCTCAGCAGCTGTATCTGAAATGTTTCTATCAATCCAAACTATTCTTCTCCCTTCCTCTCATGCAATCATTGTGGTTTTATCTTTCTTTTTCCTCAATTTTTCTGCATTTTGTGTGTTGCTGCTTTGACGCTTTGTGTTTTTATTGTTTCTCCTTATCTCCACTGCCCACATTCTTCTCAGATTTTGAGGACCCAGACTTCAGCTGCTTCAGTTACAGAGGTGGCCAGACAAAAAATGGCCATCTCCCACCACTAATTCCCTAGAGACTGGTGCAACCTGAGTCTGCAGCACAGGTTCTGGATAACAAACTTTTTGGCATGATGCTGTTACACCTGTGCAGAACTTGGGTCAGCATAGCAAGTCATTTAGCTGATCTGTAAGTAATTCTAGAATGATTTGGCTTGGAAGGGGCCTTCAAGACCATCTACCATGGGCAGAGACATCTTCTACTAGACCAGGTTGCTCCGAGCCCTGTCCAACCTGGACTTCAACACTTCCAGGGATCCAGGGGCAGCCACAGCTTCTCTGGGCCACCTGTGCCAGGGCCTCATCACCCTCACAGTCAGGAGGAATTCCTTCCAAATATCCCATCTAACCCTGCCCTCTGGTAGTGGGAAGCCATTCCCCCTGTCCTGTCACAGCAAGCCCTGCTAGAAAGTTTGTCCCTGTAAGGGACAGACCCCTGCTCATGACACACGGTGGACGATGGTGGAGACCTCTTCCGCTCTCCCTGCTGCCGTAACACCGTGGTCCCAGGCTCGTCTCTGGCTGCTCCCAGCCCCACAGAGAGTAAGAAAGACCCTACAGAGGAACTGTTTTTTGTTTGATGGGCTTAGCAGGAAAGCTGCCAGGTGGAACCCAGCCAAGAGGCAGCAGACCATGACGGGCAGACCCACACTGTTTAGACAGCAGCAGCGACCCAAGGGAAGAATCCAGCCAAGGAGGGGGAAGCCCCCACACACACATCCACACGGGCACATCCACACTCACACATGGGCCCGGTGCAGCCGGAGGTCAAGGTCCAATTAGGTACTTTATTACTCATTTAAGCCTTGTCTGGCTTTCAGGGCTGGGAGAATGCTGGTGCGCGCACATGAACCCGCGGCTCAGCCGGGACGGGCAGCGATTTGCATCTGAAGCGAGTCACTGATCCCATTCCCAGGAGGTTTACTTGATGCATGGCTTAGCTGAGGGGCAGCTTGGTTTTATTTACCGCCGGGACTTGGCACACGCTGGCGGTTCCGCATTCACCCGCAGCCCCAAGGACCTGCGAGCTGCCTCTCGCTTCCAAAGACCACATAGAGAGTGGTTTGCACAGGAGAGTTAGTCCCCTAGGACTTCCCGATCCCATCAATCCCTCTACCTCCCATACTCCAAAAAGCTGAAGGCTTTCCTAGGAAATTCCACCGCTCTGGGTAGAAGGGACCTTCAAGACCACCTTGTTCCAGCCCCCTGCCATGGGCAGGGACACCTTCCACTAGACCAGGTTGCTCCACACCCTGTCCAACGTGGCCTTCAAGGCTTCCAAGGATGGAGAATACCACCAGCCTCAGCCAACGGGAACCGAGCAGAGGGCAAATGACAGTGCAGATCAATCAAACAGACCCAGGGAGACACGTCCCAGAGGTTACCAGGGACAAGAAGTTGATTGAAGACAAGACTGGAAGCTGGATGTGGTCGACACACATGCAAAACCTCAACAATAACAGGGAACATAACACGGGGAGGGGGGGGAGCGAGAGGGTTTAAAAATAAAGGTTTATCAGCTTCCTACATGTGTTTGTGCTGAGTCAGGTCCATCCTCACAACAGTCTCCCACATGACGGAAACAAGTCAAACAGCTGAGAAGGTGAGTTCAACAGGGTGAACACTCAACACCTGGAAATATGATGCCATTTTTCTGGATGACAAATGACTAAATCAAGAGAGAGAGACCAGGGAAAAAGAGTCATTGATTCATTAGATGCCCAAGCACATGGAAAAGTGACCACTGATACCAAATTCAGCTGCAAAGAAAGTTATTTAGACACCAAAGTAAGCACCCAGGTCATGAAGGGAATAAAAAAAATCGCAAGTGGGAGCATAGAAACTGGCTGCAAGGATCAAAACTGAAGTTGCTTTTCCTTAGAAGTCTAAACAGGACCTATGCTTTTTAAAATCCATTCCAACTTTCAGTACTTGAGCAGCTGGAAATCCATGACAGGCTAGGGCTGTGTCACAGGAAGAAGGGCTTCTCCTCCCAAATCTAAAGCCATGTGCAAATATGCAGGCAGAAACCTGATATGCTCAATCCTGGAGCCTGGCCAGCAGCACAGGCTCCAGGACTGAGCACATCTCTCTGATGCAGAAAGAGCAGTCTCCTGAGCTAAAAAAAAAAAGAAAAAAGAAAAAAAAACCCCAAACCTTCTGTTTGCTTGTGGAATTTCTACCCAGAACCCTAATTTGGAACCTTATCAGTTACAAGCTTTGGGGAGTCTAGTTCTTTAAGAGCCATCTGTTCCTTCTGGCACAGAGAGTAAGTTTCCCAGATCTAGCTGCTTCTTTCAGGACAACACTGCTTGGGACAAGATCTCAAGAGCCATAACCCTGCAGTAGCTCAAGCCTAGGCAAAAGCAGTACCCTTGTCATACAGTGGAGTGCCCAATTCTGCAACTGGCACAGCCCTAAAGTGAGCTGCTCAGGTTTATCCAACTGCCTAAATGCATAGTGAGCTTTTTCTAAGTCTGAGAGTCTCATTGTACTTCCTCAGCATCTGAAAAATGTTGCCTGAACACACCCCAAAGCAACTGTGTTGTAGAGGTTGGATCAGGATCCGTGAACCTGAGTGCTCCAAATGTCATGAACCTGCAAAACTGGGCAAGAGAACGACCTCATACTGCAAAATACAGTCCCTGTGCAGTTTCAGATGTTCAGTAAACACTAACTGGGATATTCACATCTCCACCCATTAATTTAATTGTTATCCAATGTGTTCATTGCCATAAGACAAGGGGAGAATGTCTTCCCACTGCCAGAAGGCAGGGTTAGATGGGATATAGGGAAGGAGTTGTTGGCTGTGAGGATGGTGAGGCCCTGGTACAGGTTGCCCAGAGAAGCTGTGACTGCCCCATCCCTGGAAATGTTGAAGTCCAGGTTGGACAGGGCTTGGAGCAACCTGTTCTAGTGTAAGGTGTCCCTGCCCATGGCAGGGGGTGGAACAAGATGAGCTCTGAGGTCTCTCCCAACCAAACCATTCTATAATTTCATTGAAGTTCTCTGCCCTTATCAAGGGGAAAAGGTGTTTAAAGCTTTAGTGAATCCCACAGGGGATGTTTTGGAGATGAAATTCCTGGATTCATGTAGGCAGAGGAAGAGGTTGGATTAGAAAAGGTGCCAGTGTTGTTACTTTGTTTGGTCGTTTTGGTTGGTTGGTTTTTTTTTAAGGTTAAGAATCCCTAGGCATGCCTAACTTCTGTAGGAATGGCTGAGGGAGCTAGGTTTGTTTATTCTCTAGAAGAGGAGGCTCAAGGGGGACCTCATCACTGAGCCTTCACTGTCCGGGAGCTTAGAAGTGGAGGAAACTTTTGTAATAATTTATAAAAGCTTTGGTCATTCAGGAATATTTATTGCATGTCGTATTACTGTTGTAGGGATTTCGGTTCATTGTCTCAAGACCTTGATACTGCCTGGAGGGCACGGGAGGGAAGCTGTGCCTCCCTGGGGAGATTTAACTGGTGCTTCTCATTGCAGAGAACTGAGCCATTGATGGGTTTTGTGACCTGGTTGATTCACTTTACTTCTTTTTACCTTCATTTCCCTCCTCGCACTTCATGGTGTTGCTTTATGCAATGTGATCCCTGGGCAATTGTTCTTTATTTAGGGGTACCTGAATAGCACCTGAAAAAAATAATGGAATTTTGATATATTTTGAGGCCTCCAAGATCTGCTTTCTTTCCCATACCAATTAAATCCTCTGGAATAAGTTCTGCTCTACTACGTAAGGTGATCTACAGCCATCTCTTTATCTTCCCTTTATGCTGAGCACCAGGAATAAAGAAAAACAGAGAGAAAACAAATAAGCCCTGCCAGAGACAAATGGGCTTCATCTGGAGTTAATTCTTGTTTTGCTGTTGCACACACTGTGATATTTCTGCTCTCCTCTAATTCATCTCCCTCCCGGCCAGCACAGGCTTGCACAGATGCAGCTGAAAGTGGAATGAGGCCCAAGGTCCATGAACACTTCACTCAAGATTAAAGGTACTCCGTGAATGCAGAGTATGTTGTCAGGTGTTTCCAGACGAGAGAAAAACAGATTATCCTTCAACCTGGTCAACAAACGTATCACATTGCAGAGCCAGACTCTGGAAATATGGTTTGAAACAAACCAAAACTAGTTTGAGAGACAAAGGAAAATATGTTATCTTGTTATCCTTGGTAGCAAATAGGGTTGAGATGGTACAGTGTCTGACATAATTTCTTCAAGATTTCCTCTTGTTTTGTGTTAGTTTGTTTTGTTTTTTTTTTTAGGATTTTACTAGCTAATTTCTTGTTTGCTCTTCATTTGAAAATGCAAACCAAGGAGTTCCTGCCTCTGGAAGGAATTAAAAGCCATGTGGATGAGGCACTTCAGGACATGGGTTAGTGGTGGCCTTGGCAGCGCTGGGGGAATAGTTGAACTTGATGATTTTGGAGTGTTCTTCCAACCCAAATGATTCTTCTGTTATTCTATGACCAAACCATTGGGACAGTTTCTCATGTTAAAAAGCAGAGTGAGGATTTGGTGCTGTTAAGCACTGAGCTCCCCACTGCCACATGGCAGATTTTTGTAAAAGAAACCCTGTTGGTTCCTTGGGGAGATGATGGTTTTGGTAGATAAAGGCAATATGTCGAGGTAAGACTCTTGCTTTGGAAATTTGTTTTCACTATGCTGAAATTGGCAGAGCTTTCAGAGCTGTTCCAAATGCTCATGGAGAAGATTTTAAGTGGGCTGTAATTTGAGTGAGATGGAGAAGTCTCAAACAAATTCAAAAAAGTCAGGTATTACATCTTGTGTGTTTAAGTTTGATTTAAATTTCACTTTAAGCATTTCAGCTGGACTTAAAATTTTGCTGTCATGAGAGATGAAGAGTTGATCATGATGGGTCAACTTTTTTGGTAGTGGGTTTTTTGTTTGTTTGTTTATTTGTTTGTTTTTTTGTTTGTTTTGGGGTTTTTTGTTATGTTTTTATAAAAAGAGATAAAAATCACAATTTAGAAACTGCAGAGGGGTTATCAGAGGTAATTGTCTCTTTCTTACCTGGTGTATTGATAGGTGGATACATCCTTCAGCTCCACATGATGCTGATAATTCAGACATGATGCTGATAATTATGCCCTTTCTACCATGGGCTGAGCACAATGGTCCATGCAGCCACATGCTCCAAAACTCATCCCACGGTGTGCTTCTGTCCCTTTTTTCATTCTTCCAGCCTGGTTTACATACATGTCAGTGAAGCCTAAGGGAAAAGAAGTGAGAATATGTGCTTCTTGCCATAGCTGTTGGTTGTCTGGGCAGCTCCCTTGGGTTCTTATGCTCTGTCCCGTGTGCAGAGAGCCCCGGGGCAGGACCCCCTCGTGGTCGTGGTGCATGACAAGCATTCCCCAACTCTGAGGCTCTTGGAAATCAAAACACCCATTTAATAACCTGAACTCATTCATTTTCACATCAAAGGCAGGGCTAACAGTGGTTTTAGATCTGCTTCAGTGTCTTCCAGCTTAGGCCAGCTTTCCCAGGAGGTACAAGAAAGCAGTAAAGGAAGACCTGGCATACACCCTTTGCAGTAGGTGAGCATAGTCTTGAGAAGAGGATTTATCTACAGATCTAGAAATCTGAGTTGCTCCAAGATTGAAATTCCTGCATATGTAGAAACCCCTGCGCAAAACCTGTGTTTCTTGTCTCTTGACAAGTGAAAGCATCAACCACAAAGTCCATAAAATGTCAAGTTCTGGCAGAAGCTCTTGCAAACATGCTGGAGAACTGGTCTGGGGGCTCAGGTTTTGGTATGGTATGGTCTCCTCTGCTGTAGGAAAGGGCTTTTTGCAGGGACTGTTATTGTCTTAGATTTGTTTTCTGAGTGTTTTGAAGAATAAGGGATATGATAAGAGCAGAAGATGACCAGAAAGTGGAGGTCATCAAGGGACAGGCAGAGAAGCCTCATCCTCTGCATGGTTGGGTGCATCCTCTGAAGACAGTCCAGAAGATCCTAGTTTGAGCCCACATTCTTCTTTGGGCACCTGAACACCTGAGAATTGCTCATATGAATTATTTTAGGCCCCTGAACTGGAACATGAAAGTCAATATGAGTTAACCTGCTTATTGTCATGGGCAGAGAAAAGTGCTTTGTCTGTGGTTTTGCTGCACAAATTCTTCTTTTAGACTTTTTTTTTGTCTTTGTCCCCTCTGGACCATCTGTGAGATTAGAAAGTGCCTGAGCAGGGAAAAGGATGAAATTAACTTTCCTAACTTTCCCTCACTTATTTTTCAGTTCTGCCTGTACTCAGAGGGCAGTTCAGGAATGCCAATGGTCTGTAGAGGGTTGCTCTGTTCCTAGTCAGTTTGTCACTTACTTTTGGCTTTGGTTTGCAACCTGACAGCAAATGGCCACTCCAATTTGAAGCTCCCCAGACTGAGCACCACCATGCTGGAGGTGCCTGGAGAACACATCCCTGGGCTGTGACTCAGGAAGTCTGGTCATGGATGAGTGGAGCATGTTGGTGTTACTACAGTAACCGGTGGGAGGCTGCCCAGCAGCTTTACAGGTCTAACAAAGAACATCAGCAGCCTCATGGTGTGCTCCCTTGAGGGTGCAAGAAACACACTGGGGACCAGATTGTCCCCAGAGGCTGAAAATTCAAAGCTACCCCTTGGTGACACAACATCAGGGACTATTTATTCTGCAGCTTCCAATGAGGTGGGAGCTCTGACAATGTTTTCTACTGATGAAAAAGGCCGTAGTTGCCAAACTAAGCATTGCCCCTTTTTTCACCCTTGATCAACACTGGTCCCTGATGTTACACATGGGGTTGAGGGACTGTGTCTGTCTGTCTGTCTGCTCATTCTAACCTGTGCTTGCACACAGCTTTGTGCAGGATTGCCACGTGGGGAGCTGGGGTCACATTTGGCACATTGTAAGATGTCCCTTGGTAGCTTTCACACCCTCTGCAACCATCCTGAGCTTGCCGTGGGTCTGCAGTAGGATTGTCTTAGACCCAGCAGCCTTTTGGTTGAAAGGAAAACCGCAAGATCAAGATGGGAGCAGCATAAATGTTTGTCTTTAAATAGGTTTCACCCTTGAAAATCACCTTCAGCCAGGCTGGGTTGCTGGTAATGTCCTTTCCCACCTCTCACACTTCAGCAAGCAGCTCATGTCCAGACCTGAAGCAGTTTCACCTGCATTTGTGGACAGTAGGTACAGTGAGAATAGTGAGTTATGGGGATGCTGTTGAGGGATTTCTGGCCTCAAAGTCTGGGTGGGCTTCAAGCATCCTGCAGGAACAGAGACCAGCAACCTCATAGTCTGCTGTTGGCAGCTTGCCAAGGGCTTCAGAGCATATTTGGTCTGCCTGTGCCAGTCTGTGACCTTTAGGTTGTCCTTCAGTGTCAGTGTTGATGGCCAACCTTGGAACTACTTTGCTGTTCTGTGCTACAGACAGAGACCCTTTTTTGTGGTCAGCCAGCCAGTCAAAATAATACAACTGTGATTGCTTCAGCATCATCTCCAGAGACTCTGGGGAGTCCAGTAGCCAGGAGGGGGATGCTTGGTGTGCATTTTGCAATAAGTCACCTTTAACTGCAATGGGTACAGAGACCGTCTGCAGTTTAACAAGCACTGAGAGGCTTTTTGTTGCCGGGGGGGAGTGGATCTGTTCACAGCAAAATTCAAGTTAATAGCTCCTAAAATATTCAACCTGCTGGGCCCCAGCTGCTCCATCTTAACAATTGTGTATGGAGGGTGCTCCAAGAGAGATGGAAAGGGACTTTGGACAAGGGCCTGGAATGACACGACAAGGGGGAATGGCTTCCCACTGCCAGAAGGCAGGGTTAGACAGGATATTGGGCAGGAATTCTTGGCTATGAGGGTGATGAGGCCCTGGCACAGGTTGCCCAGAGAAGCTGTGGCTGCCTCTGGATCCCTGGAAGTGTTGAAGTCTGGGTTGGATGTGGCTTGGAGCAACACATTCTAGTGGAAGGCATCCCTGCCATGGCAGAGGGTGGGACAAGATGATCTTTAAAGTTCTTCCTTCCAACCCAAACCATTCCAGATTCTATGATTTTTTTTTTTTTCCCCAAAAAGCAGGATGGAAAAGCCACATCCGCATGCGTCCAAGCCTGAACTTGGTCCTTTGCTTTGTTTTTTGAGCTCAGTCCCATTAAAGCTATGGAATAAGATGCTCTAGGCAGGGCAGTCTGGATAGGCTGGCACAAACAGCCTCCTGGTCATTGGAGCAACAAAATGCTGCTGAAACTGCACGAGGAGGTAACTCAGCGGGATTACAAAAACAAATTTTGCTTCTTTCTTAAATAAAATGTTCTTTTTTTTTTTAAATGTAATTTAAAAGCTGATACAGTAAAACTGAAATAAAAACAACACAGCAGGAATTTATAAAAAACTGGTTTTGTTTGCCAGTCACAGAGTAGAACAATGTGCCTCTTTGTCTGAAGCACGGATTATGCAGGAATAAAATAATAAATAAAAGGGCTGCTGAATGGTGCTGACATCGTGTGCCTTCTGAAGGACACTGAATTACCAAGAGGAATAAATCATCCTTGGTTTACAAACAAACAGGCTTGCTGGTGTGCCCATCTCCCAAATTGTAAATCAGCCCCAGCTCGACCCTGGCAGTGAGCAGCTGTCCCAGTCCTATGGCCAGGTCTGGAGCTGGAGCGAGGCAGGTGCTGCAGGTGGCTTTATCCTGGCTTTAAATAAAATTCAGACTGGTAGAGAGAGCAGAGAGCACAGCTCTGCTGCTGTACAACCACCGTGGATCCCCACGGATAACGAGGAGCCTGACTGGGCGAGGACACAGTCCTTCAGCTTCAATTCCCAAGTTGGCCACGAGTATAGGCAAGAGTGATACGATCACCAGCTGGTGATGGCTCAGAAACACAAGGGAGGAGAGGTCCCTTCCCGTTTATCCTTCCCAAGTTGCTGAAACAACAGCAGAGCACAGGAACCAGCACTGCAGCCCCAGTTTAACACAGCAACTTCCCAGGAAAGGTTGCTCTTGCTGTGAGTAGTAGCTGTTTCTTCTGGATTCTCAAGCCAGGATCCATGAAGATATCAAGGAGGGAGCCCTCTAAATGCCTTTGAGGTTTTTTTGGCCCCTACAGAAACTTCCTGTGAAGTGGGGGCTGATACTTGGCAAACAGCCTGGAACTCTGGTGTCCTACATCCATGGATGAGTGCACCATGCCTGCTGCTGTTACCACAGCTCCCGGTGGGAAATTCCACACTGGCTGGAAGGTTTTTTGTTGCATGGGGTTCACCAGGTAACAGCAGCCAAGAGGGACAGGGCCCAGCAATGCAGGTGTGCCCTCTGCCCACCTGTGCCTTCCACCTCTCCGTGGAAGGCCAGTAGAGTTTTCCTTTATAAGATGCAGGTGAGGAGTGGCTGCCAGCTGTGCCTCTCCTGGGGGGTCCTAGGAGAGAATGCAATTGGGAACTGAGCTCCAAGGGTTTCTGCACAAGGGCTGCATCTCTTCCAACCTCGCCAGCACCGAAAGGGTTATGTCAGGGAGCAGATGGCCTGGCTGGAACAAGTTCTCCTCTATCACTGTTTGCCAAAGAATCATATCAAACCCTTTCCTGGACCTCAGCTGCTTTGATGTGTGGCTCTGGACGTGCAGAGACATGGGAAGACTGTCAGCTTGCTAAGGCAATACCACTGCTCATCTCACTTTCTTGGTACTGGGGCTGGGAATGGGGTTTCTGCTGCAGGGAAGGAGCAACTCATCCTCAGGTATTTCAAAGCTTGCCCTGGATGCTCTCCTATGCTTTTTCCACTCCTCTGCTAAGGAGGAGGAGAGTACTCAGAGCCTTCCAGGGGTTACATACTGGGGGGGGGGGGGGTTGTGCACACAGGAAGAAGACAAGGAGGAGCTCAAGATGTCAGCTGAGCTTTGGAGGGAGTTGGAATGTCAGTTGTCCTTGGTCAAGCCCCGTGCTGGGAGGCTGTTTGATAGGAATGGTGGTGGGAAGAACCTCCCGGGTAATGGCAGACCAGTGGGTGGGCTGAGAGTGGTGACACTGAACTGGATGGATGGAGTGTAACTTAATGCTGGGGAGTAGTTAATACAGGTGAGGAATGGGAAGCAGAAGGTGAGAGGAAAAGACTGAGAAAGAGGTGGGCCTGGACTTGTGGGTAAGAGGGGTAGCTGTCCCCAGCGCTGCTGGTGGGGTTGCACTGACAGCCACTGGGGTTTGTATAGAATCCCAGGATGGTTTGGGTTGGAAGGGACCTTCAAAACCCTCTCTTTTCACCACCCTGCCATGGGCAGGGACACCTTCCACTAGACCATATTGCTCCAAGCCACATCCAGCCTGTACTTCAACACTTCCAGGGATCCAGGGGCTTCTCTGGACCACCTGTGCCAGGGTTTCACCACCCTCACAGACAACAATTCCTTTCCAATATTCCATCTAACCCTGCCCTCTGCCAGTGGGAAGTCATTCCCCCTTATCCTCTCCCTCCATCCCCAAGTCCCTCTCCAGCTCTCCTGGAGCCCCTTTAGGCGGTGGAAGGGGTTCTCAGGTCTCCCTGCAGCCTTCTCTTCTCCAGGTGAACCCCCCCAGCTCTCCCAGCCTGGCTCCAGAGCAGAGGGGTTCCAGCCCTTGGAGCATCTCCATGGCCTCCTCTGGACTCTCTCCAGCAGCTCCACATCCCCGTGCTGTTGTTCCCCAGGGAACGGGAGGCAGCTCTGCAGGGGGATCTCACCGGAGCAGAGTAGCTGATATTTGGGTGCAGATATTGAGCCTTTGGAGGACAAGCATGGGCTCACTGATCTCTAAATGTGGGCGGCAGTGGAAGAGGCCTGTTCTTGTAAAACTTGGAAGAAAAAGCAATGAGGAACATGGATATGAATCTATGGGACAGGGAGTGCTCAGCAGATGGGAGCCAACCCGAGGATGCAAATGGAAAAACATGGGTGCAGGTTGACTTTCACAGATAGTGATTATGAAGAATTATCCAAAAAATCTGTCTTCTAAATGTTTTCTGGGCACTAATGATGAAGAGCAGATCTTGGCTTTGGCTCCAGTGACCTGCAGAGGATGTGATTTGAATTAACACAATCTTTATTAAAATGCTTGGGGTTTTTTTTAACATATAATTTTAGTGGAAGTGAAAGAGTGGAAAATTTTTTTCTGGCTGCTTTCTCTTGTCCCAGTTATTTGCAGAGCTAGTGATGATTATCATAAGGAGATAATATCTATTAAATACCACAAGTCTATTTGATTTTGTCCTTGCTTCCCCCCGCTACTTAATAACTTGTAATAGAACTAGAAGAAAAGGAAACACTGGTGGGTTATTTCTTTAAGTCTTTCTTTCCTTTTCCATTTTTTTCCTCGATCATTTATCAGCATTTCACTTACACAATCAGGTTCGTTTCTTCTCCCATGTGGCTGACAGGTTTTCTCCACCTATTTCTCATGGTCTTCCAGTTGAGAAGGGGAAACAACCATGAAGAGCACTATTACAGAGTAGCAAAAGTTAATTGAGGATCTTTGGATCAAACTGAAAAACCGGAGCTTCTCTTGGCTCATTTCTGTAAAGATGAACTGGATATAAAGTTCATCATGTCCTGTTAAGTAGCTGTTGGCCAGAACACAGAATCAGCCTAGGTCAGGGCTTTGATGTTGTTACTGGAGCTGGCTTGGAGGCAGCGTGTGGCTTGGACTTCACACAGCAATTTGCGTCGATAACTGAGGATGATGGGAGGAAGAAACCTGACAAAAATGTGTACAGGGTTTTAATTTTGCTACATTTATGCCTTTCATTACCGGTCTTGCACAGCGCGGCACGTGTGCCTCACCTGGGCGTTCCACCAACAGCGCCAGCTCTCTGGGCCAGCATCTCTCCACGGGTTAAAAACCATCAGAGACTTGCTGAAGCCCAAGGGGACACTCCAGGACATGTTTAAGGGGAGCCAGCTGGAACACTTGTGCATCCCTGAGCTGTGGTCCCACCGAGCAGTGAACCCCGAGCCCATGGGACAGCGGCCGCTTGGAGCTCTCGGGACAAGGACTCAAGAGGGGTCGGGAGGAAACTCTGCAGACACAACTAACAGAGAAGCTGTCGTGTCATGTCCCTGCTGTTGCAGCTTTAGCTCCTTTGGCTGGGGAAATCATTAAGGGAATTATGTACAGTGTGTAGAAGTGCTGCTGCTCTCCTGGGGATAGATGTTCTACCTTAACAGCCATTAGGAGTGTTACAGAGTCCTGAAAGATCGTCTCATCCCACCCCCTACCATGAGCAGGGACACCTTCCACTAGAACAGGTTACTCCAAGCCATGTTCAGCCTGGACTTCCAACACTTCCAGGGATCCAGGGGCAGACACAGTTTCTCTGGGAAATCTGTACCAGGGCCTCACCACCCTCACAGACAACAATTCCTGTCCAATATCCCATCTAACCCTGCCCTCTGGCAGTGGGAAGCCATTCCTCTCGTCCTCTCCCTCTATCCCTTGTCCCAGGTCCCTCTCCAGCTCTCCTGGTGCCCTTTAGGGGTCTCAGGTCTCCTTGGATCCTTCTCTTCTCCAGGTCAACCCCCCCAGCTGTCCCAGCCTGGCTCCAGAGCAGAGGGGCTCCAGCCTTTTGAGCATCTCCATGGCCTTTCTCTCCCTTTTAATTTTCAATTTCTTTTACCTGCTGCCATATTATATGTGGATTAGACCACGTCAGACCAGGCTGAACTACTAGAAGAAATATTTAGTAAGCAAAATAAACTCCTCAACTATTTTTTTTTTCTTGAGGATTGCTCAGGAGAGAAGATCATGAACTGTTCTGGTGTGTGTGCTGAGCTGTTATCCAAGGTGAAGGTATCTGGGCTTTGTTTCTCTCACTGGCTTGTGGAGTGTTTTTAAGGTAAATCTGTTAATCTTCTCATACTATGGGTCGATTTTGTTGTGTTTGAACAGATTTGTGTTCCTCAGCAATAAAGACAACACTAATAAACTCTTTGTAAAGAGAGCAGCAAGGTTCTTGAATAACCTTAGTCCTCTGCAAATCACACAGATCCACTGATTTGGAATTTAGAGAGAAATTTTGAGCTTTACTATTCAGCTTATTTTGAGATCATTGGATGTTCCCTCCATGGCAACGCATGAATAAAATACAACTCAGCTTTTCCATGAATGTTTCTTTAATGGGTTATTCAAAGAACCGACAGATTGGCTGTTTCACAGAGATCTGCAGAGCAAGGCTCTTCTTCTCATTAACATCTGCAGATTTTATGGCAGGGGAGTATGATTATTTCAGTACCCTTGCTTAGCTCCAGCTAAGCTGGTGTGGCCTTTCTCTTCATAGCTTTGTAGGACACATCTGTTTTCAGCCAAAAACAGGATATGGAAAGGAAAGGAGGAAAAAAAAGTCACTGAGGTTTGGTCCAAGTCTCGTGTCATTTCTTACTTTGTCTGAGCTGGTTTGCCTGTTTCCAGTAATAAGCAAAGGTGGAACAACATGGCCTGGAAAGCCTGTTTTATTGGTCCATTTTACTAATTTTTCAATGTTATTACAAGTCAGGTCAGAAGAAAAGGATTCTGAATGTGTGCACTTTTTGTCTTCTTTATATGGATTGCCATAAATATGCTGAAGTTTCATGAAACAGCTGCAAAACAACCTGGAACAGAAAGGACAGAGATAGGAAAAGCCAGTAATCGAGCAATAAAAAATGATCTGATTTTTAGCTTTAAACTTGGGTCAGCTCTGGGTCAAGCTGCTTTACCTATCCCTCTGGGCAGCGTGAGGTCTCTCATGCTCTTACACGGACTTGCAGAAGTTGCCGGATCCTTTGTGTTTGCTGCTGGGCTGGATGGGATTGCTGGGAAGGCAATGAACTGTATAATTTATGTTGGAATGCCAGCATCGGAACAGGCGTGAAATTACAACTCGTTATCACAGGCTGAGGAGCAAGATCTTGGGTTTCCTGGACAGTCACAGTCACGTCTTGGAGAGGCTGCTCTTGGGGACCACCGAAAATATTTACCTGGTGGAGTGGGGCTGGGTTGTTGTTTCAGTATGGGAAGCCAGCAAAGAGTGTGATGTCCTTGTTCCTGAAAGGCTGGTCTTTTTCTTCCCAAACAAATTTTTTCTTCCTAGATTTTTGTAGTTTGGAAGCAACGTGAGACAGCTGGCACCTGCTACACTGGGGTCCTCTGCTGATCCACCTTTCAGCGCTGCCAAAGGGGGCTGTTACCCTGGGAAATGAGGGAGCAGAAAACTCCAAACGGACTTTGTGTTCAACGCGCCTCCTAAAGAGGGATTCTGGGGTGTACTTGACAGGCTGGGAGAGCTGGGGGGGTTCACCTGGAGAAGAGAAGGATCCAAGGAGACCTGAGAGCCCCTTCCAGGGCCTAAAGGGGCTCCAGGAGAGCTGGAGAGGGACTGGGGACAAGGGATGGAGGGACAGGACAAGGGGGAATGGCTTCCCACTGCCAGAGGGCAGGGTTAGATGGGATATTGAGAAGGAATTGTTGTCTGTGAGGGTGGTGAGGCCCTGGTACCTGTTTCCCAGAGAAGCTGTGTCTGCCCCTGGATCCCTGGAAGTGTTGAAGTCCAGGTTGGATGGGGCTCAGAGCAACCTGTTCTAGTGGAAGGTGTCCCTGTCCATGGCAGGGGGAGAACCAGATGGTCTTTAAGGTCCTTTTCCAACCCAAACCATTCTGGGATTCTGTGATTCTGACCCTGTGATACTTGGTGAAACAGGGCCTGGTTGCTGCTGCCTATGAGGCTGGACGGCCCTGGACAGGGGTGAGGGGGTTTATAAAACATTCCCCATGCTGGGCCTATTGTTCCTCAGAGAACAGCCTGACCTTTAGTGGGACCTGACTCATGGGGCTGAATGGAGTGGCTGTGAAAAACTGACCCCAGAGAAACCCAGGGGAGGGGGAGGGATGCCAAGCAGCTGAGAGCACAGTGGTCAGCCCCACAGCACGTCCAGCCTCAGCCCTGCCTCACACAGACTTAAGATGTGCCCACTCTGCCAGTCCCAAGCTGTCTAGAGACTTAAAAAATACCCTGAATTCTCTGGACACTTCAAAAAATTGCCCTCCTCTGTTTGTTTTCCCACTTGTCCAATGCACAACCAAACTCCTAACTAAGGTAGCTGTGCAGGGATGCATCTTGATGTGCCAGGAGCTGTGATTCCTCAATATATATGGAGCAGCAGGAGTGGTGCATTTGGGAGACAACACTTGGTGTGTGAAGGGCCAGAGGCCTGAAGAGGATGCCCATGGATGTGAAAGAGCTACAACCTGTTTCTCCCCTCTTGTGAGCTTATATTCTTCAACCTTTTCCTTTAGAGGCCAGCTCCTGCTTGTCCTTGCAGGGGGCTCACCCTGAAAGAGGCACCAGCCCTTGTGCTGCAGCTGTATCCAAGGGGTAGTAGCCAAAAAATCAGCTGCAGATATCTGGAATGACTTCTGGTATTAGCTCACACACACACACACACACACACACACACACACTTTACACACAGTGGAAAGAAGTCCCACAGGGACACATCAGGAAAAAAGCTCCACTTCTGGGGTGCAGAGTACATCAAACATCTCTCTGCCACATCCACCAAGGCAGTTTTCCTCACAGCCAGGTGCTGCTGGGTTTTCCATAGGAAAAGGTTAGCTAAGTAATTTGATGTAAATCTTCCTCAGCTCAGAGGTGTTTACTTTCTTTGCAGAGTCCTTCTGTTGCTGCTGGATTTGTGCCACCAGTTTGTGTCAGGCACAGTCAGAGTACAATGAGAGGCTTCCCTTTAAATTTGGTGATGTGGCTGCTGGAAAAAGCTGGGAAAATCTGGGAAAACTCAGTTAGCTATCAGGTTTGGGTAAGTTTTCTTAAAAGTATTCACCAGTGGGCTACCTAGTGAAGTTAGACAAAGGTGAGGCATTTCAGGCAAAATATAAGTGACGTTTAATGGAGAAAAAAAGCATTAATGTAGGAAATCAAAGGAGAAGAAGGAGTTTGTCTGAACTTGTCCTGACTAGCCTGGCACAGCAACAATTCCAGAGTCCACTGTGTTCACTGCAATAGCCATAGAGAGTAAGTAACACAAAATCTTTTTTTCCCCAGCCAAAAGCAGCAGTGGTATTGCCATGTCTGAAAGAAAACAGGTTGGGAAGGAAAGGTTTTGGTAGAGCTCCCTGCTGAACGTGGTTTATGGCCTTTGTGGGGAAGGGGCAGCCAGAACACCCCTCTACTGCAGCCCAGAGAAGGATTTTGATTTTCTATTATTCACTCTGCCAAAAAAAAAGATGATCCCTTGGTAGTGTTGAAATCATGTCCTCATTGCTGGGTTAAAACTGGAAGTAAACCTGTAATCGCAGGAACGTTTGGTTTGGAGGGGACCTTCAAATTCATCTCATTCCACCCCTGGCATGGACAGGGACAACTTACACTAGAACAGGTTGCTCCAAGCCATGTCCAGCCTGGACTTCAACACTTCCAGGGATCCAGGAGCAGCCACAGCTTCTCTGGGAAACCTGGGCCAGGGCCTCCCCATCCCCAAAGACAGCAATATCCCATCTAACCCTGCCCTCTGCCAGTGGGAAGTCATTCCCCCTTGTACTGTCCCTCCACGTCTTGTCCCCAGTCCCTCTCCAGCTCTCCTGGAGCCCCTTTAGGCCCTGGAAGGGGCTCTCAGGTCTCCCTGGAGCCTTCTCTTCTCCAGGTGAACCCCCCAGCTCTCCCAGCCTGGCTCCAGAGCAGAGGGGCTCCAGCTCTTGGAGGATGTCCTTAGCCCCCCTCTCCTAATGTATGATGGGCCTCTCTACAAAGCAGGAGTAGATGGGGAGTGACTGGAGGCAGCAAGTGGTGGGTGCATGGAGAGAACCATCTGACCTTGGCAACACAGCCTGGAGGAGTCAGGAGGAGGTGCTGGCTAAGGGCACCTACCTGGCTGCAGGTCTCAAGGAGGTTGCCTGGCTGCAGGCTGTCCAGGACAGGGGTGAGTCCCCATCCCTACAGGGATTTAAAAGCCATGTGGATGTGGCACTTGGGATTTAAAAGCCATGTGGATGTGGCACTTGGGGACATGGGTTAGTGGTGGCCTTGGTAGTGCTGGGGGAATGGTTGGACTTGATGATCTTGGAGGGCTTTTCCGACCTAAAAAATTCTGTGATCAATAACAAGACTTCACTTATTTTTACAGAGCCCTTTATTTTTTGTCTTAAGGTTTATAAAAATTGTTACTTAAAACGAAAATGTTTAAAAATGTTTACATATGTACAATATGAGAAATAAATTATGTTTTAAGTCATACAAAAACCACAATATACAAATAGGGCTTTGAAACTGCTCTAAGTATGGCACGGTGACAAGTCACAGACACTTACCAAAGGCTTCAGTTATTGAAGCCTTTGCATAAAACCATGGAAAAAAATATCCCCAAATGTGCTTGCTTTGGTTGGGTTGAAGCTCTACAAAAACTTAAAGAGATCTGCAGGCCTCAGAAGGACTTGCTAAGTCTTCAGAACTCAGTGCACCACCTGGCAACACCATTTTTGAGACTGGCTTTCTGCATGCCAAAAGCTCAACGGTTGTCACACCATTCTCCTTAGGAAGAAAAAAAGGTTAAAAAAACCCAAACCACCAAACCAAACCAACCAAACAAAAAAACCCCACTACTAAAAAAAACCCAACCAAGCAAACCAAAACCTAGTTCACCTCTGACAAGGTCCACTCTGCTGTAGCAAACGTGACAGCTGTAGAGTCTGCCAAACTCAAAGCAAAGCCAAGTCCCTGGGACCAGGGACTGCAACTGGGATGTTGTAGCAATCAGGGTAGGAGGTTGGCTGTTTGGCTCGTTTAAATATTTTACTAAAAAATAAGATCTTAATTATGCATTGGTACTACGACAGCATCTGAGCAGAGGGGAACATGTCCTCAGCAGCTAAAAGGACTGGTGCAAAGCTCTCCTGAAGCAGCACGGTGCATCTCGTTCCTCCATCCCCTACGGTCAGCAGGAGGGCAGCTGCTCTTTGCCTCTTAGAAAGGGATCCCCATGTGTGACTGGGCAGCCTCACTGCAGACACTGACCAGGGAGCAGCTGCCACCACCACCACCACACATGCACCGTGTTGTGCCCCAGGCACAGGGAGGACAGAGCACTACCATCCTATCAAGGTAATACACAGAGATTTCGGTATCGGCCAGACACGGAACAGACTATTTTTAAGGCAAGCAAAAGACAAGTTGAAGTTAAGTGGCATTGTGCTTACTCCCACCCCTTCCCTGAACAACCCCACGCCCTTGACCTGTGCTGGTCACACCTTCCCACAGCCCATAGTGCTATTGGACCCACGGTAACTCCTGCGCCAGGCGCTAATTTGTTCTCAGCAGCTCTGTCACCCGCAGCCTGGGGGGCAGTTAGCATGGTTATTTATCCTCTCAACTCCACTGGCAGGCAGACCAGAAGATCATTGCTGAGGTCTGGGTGTGTGAAGATCTCGTGCATAGTCCTGGTTAATAGGAGCAGGGCAGGAAAAATGCAGCGTGTAACAGGTCAAGGTAAGGTTAAACACACAAACCAGGCTCCTTGGGAAAGGGAGGATGGAGTTTTAGTTATTCTAGGTCTAGGACCAAGGTCCATCAATTGCTCCTCAGTTTCTTGCATCCAATCCAAGCTGTATTTTCCAGAAGAGCTAGTTGCTTTAAGTGCTACCAAGCTAGACTTTTTTTCCCAGAGCATCTTGCCACCTGCGTGGTCTTCATGCATCCGGGTTGCTTGGCTGAGAGTCTTTAGGGAAGTCTTCAGAGCAGATTTGAGACAGATCTGGGAAAAAGCAGAGAGGGAAAAAAACCCCCTAGTTAAACGCAGAAGTTAATAGGAATAACAAAGAATTTCTAAGAACCTCTGGGGTGCTAAGAACAGGTTTGGACAGTACAGGCTGGTATTTTATTCTGTCAAAGCCGCATTTCGCCCAGTAGCTACTCAGTGAGAGCCTCAAGCAGACATTATGCAGGCTGCAAACAGAAATTACAGGGCTTTAGCTAGACTCTGCCTGTGCAGCTCCATTCAGAGAGGACAGATGTTTGCAGTCTCAGTCTCCAAGTAGGGAACTATAATATTCCACTGACTTGGCAGAAACTGAGAGCTGAACAGCAAGTAATCGCTTGTCATTTCTGGGAGGATTGACCATTTCCTAGCAAAAAAAGTGCTGTGCTGGAGCTGAGCTCAGCCCCTCTGCCTCGTGCACAAGCTGCACTCCACAAGCAAGCAGGCAGGGCACATCTGCCAGCAATTCTGTTTTATGGGGGTTACCGAGTAGCATATCGAAACAGCCTTTTATTGTACCTGCAGGAATGTTTACTTGATCTTTCAGGACTTGTGGCAGAGCAACAAGTTTTTGCACAGGGGTTTCATTCACAGATTGGTTTGCTACTGTCTCTAGCACAGCTTGCTGGTTTCTGCCAAAAACTGGTCCTGGAATAGAACCAGCTCACACTTCTAAGCCGAGCTCTGCTGCTCAGGAGGGTTGTGCAAAGCTCGACTTCCACAGGGCTTTGCTAGTCCTAGCAAGCACTTTGTCCTCTGGATTGGATGTGACAAAGCTCTAAGTTTGCAAACTGAAATTTTAGGAGAGGGCAAAAGGCTGGGCTTCATCCAGGGGAGACTATGATTTAGACAAATGAACAGGGCTTCATTCATTCAAAACATGACCAGAGGCATCTGAGGCAATCAAGTTGTCACTGCTGGGACCAGACTTTCTGGAAGTCATGCTCTGAGGACTGATCCAGGTGCCTGGAAGTCCCCCAAAAGGTTAAGCAGGGCTGAGATGCTTCATCAGTGGCAGAGTTTGCACCCTCCTGAACCTGACGAGATCAGCGTGGCTGGAGATGAAGCCATAGGAGTCACTGCTGTAACACCATGGCAGATCCTCAGCTCTGTCCTGCTCATACACTTGACCTCAAACTTTAATCAAGGGATTTCTCAGCAGCTCAAGGTCTTCCACCAGGCTGAAACAATCTTAGAGGCAATTTCCTGCACTCCTCCCAGCTTCCCCCTGTTTTACAGGGCAGTTAATAGATACCTCTACTCAACTTCCCACTATTACACAGATCTTGGGGATTGGCAGAACCTCATTTTAGCCTCTACCACAATTAGGACCAAGGATTTTGCTGCACCCATTTGGTAGTAAACATGTAAGGGTACAAGGTGACAATCCAAGGTCAGGAGGGAGGATAATATCACTAGTTAGCAACAGTTACGGCATACATTAAAATTAAGTCTAATACCTGTGAGTCCTGGGCTAGAATTTATTAACCTTCTTCAAAGAAAAACAGGTTCCAGGAGTGAAAGAACCCAAAAGGCTCCACTCATCCCAGCACAGCCACATGCATCAGACAGAATTTCTGTTGGCTGATTTCCATACCTTTTTTGCCATTCCTCTGTGCATTTCACAAACCAGAGCTCTTTGCCAGGAGTTATACTGGTTAGCTGGGAATCCTCCACACAGAAAGCAAACCTACAAGGAGGAATCAGAAGTCAAGAGAAGGTGAACTGTTGTCTCCGTGATTAACAAATAACAAGTAACATGGGTTGCAGCTAGTTCTAAGACAAGTTGTTTGATTTAACATGCATCCCACAGAGCATCTTGATACACCATTAGCATTTTGAATGGGTTTTTATTTCCTATTTCAGAATTTATTTGGGCATCTTTGTTTCTACTTTGCTTCTACCCCTGTGTTTCGTAGAGTGTAGAAACCAGGATGCACAATACCTTTCAGATGATAGGTAATGCTTATTTAACTTTTTGAGAAACGTGGGAACTTGTCAATGTCAACTGCTGCTCTTTAACAGATCTGGGTTACCTTCAGAACAACATTAACACATGATGTGGGAGTGCAGTGCTACATGCTTGGCAGATTTAAAACTTTTTGGATGCTCAGATAGTTTTCCAGTTGCAAACAGAATCATAGGATGAGAGAATGATTTGGGTGGGATGAGACCTTAAAGATCATCTAGTTCCAACCTCTGTCATGGCAGGGAATCTTCCACTAGAATTCTATGGCCAATTCTATGATCTAAGGATATGGATTGGGGTTGGAAGCGACCCTAGTTCCAATCCCCCTGTCAGACCTCAGAAGGATCAATATAGTACTTAAGGGGTTGATGGCACTGTGTTACTGGTTGCAGTTTCAGGTCTAGCTTGCTCTGCCAAATCAGAATCTTATGCCTGAAAATAATAGCCATGACCACTCATGTTTCTGTATTTTCAATGCTTAGTATTTTATCCCTTCAAGTATCATATAAACCACCTTGAAGGAGGCTAATTTAGTCCCCAGGGGATGTCACAGTATCTAAATAAAGCAAAAGATCTGATCTGCGGTGACCAGTTTTGCATAAAGCTTAGTTTGCAACCTTGTGCTGGCCAGTGACCTGCTCTCCTACGCCTTGAAGGAGTGGTGACACTAAAAATGAGAGGCAGCTCAAGATACCAGCTATGTTCAGAACACCAACTTTTTTTTGCTAGGTCCTGAACATTTCTCCTT